TTATTTATTCCTTTTGCGAACGCAGGAAAAGGCGCGCACGCTTTATTAGAGGCAACAATGGACACACGGTGCAACGCGAGTTTACAGCGCGCGGGATTCCTTTCATACGCGCGAGCAGGGATTTCCCGCGTGAAAAGCTTGGTTTCAGCGTTTTAAGCGCTCGGTCGCCGCGAAAATAAAAGCGAGTTTCCATGCGGCGAGTTCCTTCTCACGGCCTATTGCGCGATAAGCCCCTCTTTTTTTTCGAACCCGCTCGTACTCTCGAATTCGTCTCTTGCTTTCCGCGTTGCTTGCGCCGTGCCTCGTCGAGGGAAGGGAAAATGGGGGCGAGGGAGGGTCGATTTTCTTTCTTTCTTCCTCGCGATACACGCGTATGCAGCGAGTCATCATCCCGATCGGGCGAAAAGAGGGGGAAGAATCTCGTTCCTCGAACGAGCACCACCATCACCACCCTCTGTTTCAGCTCGTGTCCTCCCTTGGCAACGTGTCGTCCACCTAACGACGCGAGTTTTTACCGATCTTTCGATCCGATTCGACTCGACTCGATTCGATTCGATTCGATTCGATCGGAGGTTAGAGTACGTTCGATGGTGGAACGTTCACGTTTGTTATTCCAGTTGATTGGAAGTCGCTTCTTGGATCGTTTGGGTAAATTCTAGGAAGAGATTCCTATCCGATTTTAAGCTTCAGAAGGTTTATCTTGTATTGTGCGAGAAGAATATAACTCGAAGAGAAAAAAATATATCGAAGGTTTCCTCTCGTATCGTAAAAAAATTGAATCGAACTCGCGAGTATCGCGAAATTTGGAGAAACGAACGGAAAATCGAAATGAAGGTGGAATATAGCGTGACGGGGTGCAGTTTACTAGTTCGCTGCACTTTTAGATCGGGGTGTGGCTACACCTTCTCCTTCTCTTTCTTCTTTTCTCTTCTCTCCTCTCTTCCTTTCGATCTACAAATACACAAATTCATCCGTTCGCGATTCCGGATATTTCGCAACCATCTTCACGCAGATTTTTCCTCCTTAACCCGGCTTCCTTGATTTTCGTGTGTAAACATTTGGATTTCGCGCAACGAAGCGGAATTCCATTCCGATCGTGTTCGACGATTAAGTTAATTAAGCGCAATGATCGCGGTGTCGTTGGAATATGATGCTATTCTCTTACCAGGAACGCGGAAACCTTTAAGCAATGCTCGAGAAGAATTCAATGCATAAATGCATTACGAAAAAATGGAAAGAAAATACTATTACTGTTATTATACTTCAGAAAGGCGGAAAACGAAGAGAAACTCGATCGAATACCTCGCTTTATATACATTTTTACCATACCATATCGCGAAGAGAATTTGGCTCTCTCCTCGCTACTTTTCGAGAGTTCTGCACGCGAAATATTTTGTTGGAAGGTAGTAGAAGCGTTCTCGAGTTGGCGAGGAGGAGAAGGAGGAGCAGCGACTGCTAGAGTTCCCTTCTGAATGGCACTCGTGACCGGGAGAGCGGAGATTAATTAAAAGGACGACGTCGAAAACCTTTTGCCCGCGGTTTAACCGCTTCCCGAGCATCTCTCTCTCTCTCTCTCTCGTACTCTTCTCCACCTCTCCACCGACCCTTCTCGTCCAACTTTTCCGTGGACGTCGATGGACATTGATTCCCGATGAGCTGACGCTGATGTACGACAGCGAGCTCAACCGGTCGGAGCTAATAGGAAACGCCAGCTGGGAGAATTGTGCGGTGGATATCGATGTCACCGATGATTCTTGCCTCGTTCCCTGCCTATATGCGAGCCTCTCCTCGGAGTATACAGGAGAGTATAAGGAGAGATATCGGGATAGGGTATCTCGACTTTTTCCTTTTTGCCACGGAGGAAATCGATTCCACGGGTGGCGGCTAATTGCCGTTTCGAGTTTCCCTGCGATTTCGCCCTTTTCTCCAACGTGTTCCGCCGTTCGATCGCGCGATTGCTGGTCGTTATTCGCTTCGTTCGTCGTTGATCAGAGATAAACGATCTCTAAATGAAAGGAGATTTACAATCTAGTGTTGATCTAGGGTTAAAAGAAATTTCGAAGTTTAATAAAAATAGTTTTGCTCGAAAAATAGTGGAGGAAACGAAGACTTGTAATAACAAAGCGTATCCCGGAATTGAATTCGTCGAACGAGGATAATTATATTATACGGCTTATCTTGCAGGATTAAACTATATATCGGTCTGTGCATCTCTGGGCGGGGGGGCGTGCCAGCGCTCTCCAAGTCGGCGAATTTCCCCGTGCTCGTTGCAAGAACCGTGTGCTATATCCCGCTGGTGGTGCGGATAGTTTCTAAGTAATATAATCCTGTCGGCGTTGATTAAATTCGGGGGCGGAGCGGGAAACGATGGACGCGCGCCGCGCAAGTTTGGTCGATTGAACCTCTCGCCGAGGACTTTCGTGGCTCTCTTTCCCTAATTTCGTTACACGTCCCGACGATACGCGTGTTCCTCCGACTTGGAGGAATCCAATTCTAAATTTCTCCGCTCGTCTCCTTGCCTTCTAACGACCCCTTCGAGACGTGTCTTATCCTTAAAGCAACGGTGCGAGTCTTCAACGGGTTTTCGATTCTATCCTCGGAATTCAAGCGGGTCAAGTTAAACTTTCGATTGAATCGGCAATTTGGAATACGAGCGTTTGTTGCCGAGCGAGGAACCGAGAACGTCGAGGGTGCAGCATTCTCTCTCTCTCTCTCTTGTTCTCTCTCCTCGTTCCTTTTCTTTCTTTTCTCCTTTTCGCTCCCTGATGGGCACATTTTGTGCGTTAACCCTCGTTCCAGGCCCGTCGCGCACAATAGAGCTTTGCATTAAAGGTCATTAGCTTAAACGTTCGCCTTCCTGTTGCGCAACCGCGCGCGCAATTCTCCAGCCCGCGAGCGAACGAGCGAGTATTTCAGACAGGAATAATTGTGCCGATGATTTTTTTACAAGTTCTGTCTCCCCTCTTCCTCCTCTTTTTTCTTTCCCCTCCTCGTGCCTTCTTTGTCCCTTTCTCGTCGTACGAATTTCTATCGTTAGATAGTTTCCAATGAAACTTTAACGAGAAGAAGAAGAAGAAGAAGAAGAAGAAGAAG